CCACGCATTCATTCCTGATGTCCAACCACTTGAGATTCATGGGCGTTGATTTTGGAGTTGGTATCTCTTTATGTGTTGGTATCCAAGTCCCCCCCAAACCGTTGCTTGCTTCCTTCCCGAGGCTCCCCTGGTAGCAAATCTTTGAAGATCCCCCCCGCCCGAAATGATGAAGGATTGCCACAAAAAGGGGACACCTCCCCCTTATAAATCCAGAAGCTGACTATAAAACCCTATCAATGAACCAGCGGATCATGAAGTTCGGGGTTGACATTTTTCAGCCCCGCTGAAGGGGAATCCACAACAGTTGACTCCGAAAGATGCCATTGGCATTTCCGCCCTCCCTTTTGGTTTTCCTCCATGTTCCCTTCAGCAAGTCGAGCAAAAACAAGCAAAACACATATTCCCGTGTTCGCCGACCTAGCCCACTACCCCACCCTCCCTAGCCTAAACCCCTACCCTGTACCCTGCATTTGCCCTACCGTACCTACCAACCCTACCTAACCCACTACCATACCTCCCTTTTTCCTATGGTTGTCAAGGGCCCCCCAATACAAACCAAACCCAATAAGGCTTCATAGCGACTAATAAGGCTCTAATAGGGTTCCTTTTTTGCGAGTCCCTCTTTCAAGGGCTGAAAAAACCACGCGATATTCTCCCCCAACCCCCCCCCCCCCTCCGCACCACCAGACACTTCCACCCGCGGCCACCCCCCCCCCCGCCCGGTGCGCACGGGACGTCGCGCCGCTTCCTCGCCCCGTTTTCCGCGCGCCAGGCCGAGCGGGACGAGGTGGCCTGCGAGCTCATGGACCGGTTCCTGGCGGTGGAGCAAAAGTTCTCCCCGCGCCTTCGCCCGCGAAACGTGGACCGGACCGGACCCTTCCTCCCCCCAACACTTCGCCGAGGAAAAACACCATGGGGCGAGGAACGGACCGTTTCCCCCCCCCCCCAAAAAAAAAAGCAAAAAGAAGAAGAAGAAGAAGAAGAAGAAGAAGAGAAAGCGACTCGGAGCTTTTCAAGAAAACATCGGAGTGGAAAGTGGAAGCCGCTCATTTTGTGAGGTCTCCAAGGAGAACCAGGAAATAGATGATTTTGGCAACTTACCCCAGAGCTTTGGGGCAAGTTGAGTGGAATTTTAGCAAGCCCCATTCATCTTGTGGCAACTGGGTCGGAAAATGTTTGGAGTTTCACCATTCTTTTGATGGGGGGGTCGAAAAGTAGGGTCGAGCTAACATCACATTTGGGTTTGAACCATTTACTAGCAAATCCAAAGTCTGGGTACCTTTTGGCCTGTCCACTCGGGAAGTGAGTTGAAGATCAGAGGTCTCCCACCGGAGGGTAGCTGAGGTTGATCGTGAAGAAGCTGACGAGCGACCAGATCTACGCGGAGTTCATCACCGAGAACAAGGAGCGATCCGTGGCTTTCGGCGCCCGGGGGCGCAGATGGGTGCATGGCTTCTCTGTCAGCGAGCTAGCATGTCGAAGCCGAAAGGCCAGCCAAACATCAAACGAACAATGTGCACCATTCACATATAATTATATATATATATACATATATATATATACACATAAGTACATATACATATACATATATACATATATACATATATGCACATATCTATATACTTACAAATGTAGCAACTACACAGACACGCAGACCGTATCACAAAGCAACAATGGGCCGAACAACGGCTTCGGACAGTAGCTCTGCTTGGATGGATGTCTCACAGAACAACCCCAGTACACGGCACCACTTCGAAGACGACTCGAAACCGGTCGCAAAAGCGGGCGGCCATACCTCAGTTATGAAACCGGTTGTCAGGGGCCCCTATTCATGCCTTTTTCGGGGAGTCCCGTCTTAGCATCTTTGGGGCCCCTGTCACCCATGGATTATAGCCTACTGAGTTGGCTGAGATTCTAGGGGTTGATTCCCCATTCTTTTAAACCATCGTTCTTTTCAAAAAACGGCTGTTTCCCCTGGGGTTCTGATGGTTTTCTGGAAAGAAGGATCCCAGAAAGAATGGGGAAGTGTCCCCTAGAGAGATGGTAAGGCTCCCCTGGCGACCCAAATTTTGGGCCTTTGCGCCCAGGAGAACTTGCCGGCTGTCGCTTCGCTTGCACTGGCGCACAGCCAGCTGTCCGCGCGAAGCGAGTCTCGGCTAGAGCGTCCCTCCAGTTCCTGAGAGGGTTTCAGGTTTTTCCCAAGTCCGAGGTGAAGCTGAACCAATTTGGCAGCTCTTCTTGAACCGATCGGTTCCTTTCAAGAAGAGAAGGCTTTGGTTCAACCACCAATTTTGGTCCATGCCTTGAACAGTCATGGGTTTCCGCTACCCCCAAGTTGGAGCCTAGCTTTAGCTGAAATCGGGATATCCAAGCAGGGTTCCTCAGGCAAACCACTACCCCCCCGCCGCTGCGAATCATGACTTTCTGGGGTGGATTTCTTTCTTGGACTCTAAGGGAATTTTCTTGGCTAACACTTGGCGCATGTTTTGCTTCACTTTGGCAAGCGCGCATGTTGCCGCGCAAATTGATGACGTGCGGGGAATGCCAACTTTTTGCAAGTTCGCAAGTGGACGCAGAGGGAAGCAGACCCGCATGGCTTGGCGCGTTTTTTTTTCTTCAGGTTTCTGGGGTTTTGCAGGAGAATCCTGGGCTTCGGCTTGTGTGAAAACCTGAAAGCTCTCCTCAAAGAGGCCGAAGCTTGTACCTGGGCATGGGCGAGGGCGAGATTCTGGTTGCCACCCGCTTTGAGCGCATCGCGGGCGTTGGCTCTTGTAACTCTATTGGTGCCAGCTTTTGGCCTGCCCTTTCTCAAGTACTTCCAGGATTCCATGCCTTCGAGGAGAACGCGCATGTTGGGGACCTTGACCGCACCCCGCCTTTTTGTTCTCGCTTGCAGGTAGGGTTTGGATGCCACTCCCGGTATCAAGCGAATGTCTTGAGGCCGTGGTGGTGGCAACTTTGCGGAGCCTGCGGACCCTGAACGACCCCTCCGTCAGGTTGTGCGAGAAGATCCAGCAGCTGTCCGAGCTGGCCAACACAGGCCAGGAAGTACTGCTAGCTTCCATTTGGAAAAGAATATGTTTTATTTTCCCCCGGTTGGTTTTAAAGGGAATTTATCACTACTGTTATGACATTTTTGCAGCCACACACTGAGGTGTCTTGAAATATTTATTTTTTCAAAAAATCATCGATTTCATGATCCTCAACACTATCCTTTTTTATCCTCATCGTTTGTCATTATCCTCCAGATTATCATTTGTTTTTATCCTCATCGTTTTTCATTATCCTCAAGCCTGCCTGCCTGCCTGCTCGCTCGCTCGCTCGCTCGCTTTGCTTTGCTTTGCTTTGCTTCGCTCGCTTGCTTTGCTTTGCTTTGATTTGCTGGGCTTGGCTTTGCTTGGCTTGCTTTGGTGGGTTTCCTTCAGCTTCAGCCATGAAACAATTTAGTTGGAGCCATTTTGCGCAAGAAATGTCTGACGGTGGCTGTGTTGAAGCTCGTTTCAAATCGTGTTCCAGGCTGGAGAACAGGGGAGGAAAATAGGGAGGATGATTTTTGGAAGGTTGATGTCAGGCAGGATAATTTGTTGGATGATTTTTTGATGATGGATTCCGGTCAGGATGATTTTTCGAAGATTTTTCGAAGATTTTTCGAAGATTTTTCGATGATTGTTTTTTTTTGAAAAAACAGGAGGGTTTTGCAACTTTTTGCTTTCCTGACCACTGTGAAGGGGGGTTGGTCCAGAAAATGTGGGTTGGGGATGATTTTTCGAAGATTGTTCGATGATTTTTGAAAAAAAAACAGGAGGGTTTTGCAACTTTTTGCTTTCCTGACCACTGTGAAGGGGGTTTGGTCCAGAAAATGTGGGTTGGGGATGATTTTCGAAGATTTTTCGATGATTTTTGAAGAAAAAAACAGGAGGGTTTTGCAACTTGTTGCTTTTCCTGTCAGTCTCAGGAAGAGGAAGAGTGAAAAGGGAAAGAAGGAACAGGGCAGGGCAAAGAGAATTGGAGAGGACAAGGAAGAGAAAAAAGAGAAAGGAGATGGAACATGGAAACAAGAAGAGGGAAATGGAAAAGGGTAAGGAACGGGAAGGAACGGGAAGGAAAGGAAAATGGAAACGCAGAGAATAGAAGCGATGTGGAGGAGGGATGAAGGAGGAGGGAGAGGATGATTTTTCGATCATGTTTTTTGCAGAGGATGATTGTAGGATGATTTTTGGATAGGTTTGAGGATAACCAAATCAATGTTTTTTTGAAAAAAATAAATATTTCAACATTTCCAGTCTCTGGCTGGCTAAAAAAATCATAACACTACTGGATTCATTTTTTCCCAGGGGACCTAAGCAAATGGAGGCTAGCCATACCCAAAAGGGTGCCAGCACAAGGTCAAATGCCGGGGCGCATTTTCTTGCTGGTGCTCACATTCCCCGAGGGAATAAACCCTTTGAGCCATCCCTTGTGGGGACGCCCAGACTGAGCACCAGCAAGTTTTGCAGCACTGCTTGCTGCCATTGTGGTAGCTGATTCGAACTCCCCACGGCTTTCAACCAACAGCCTTTTTCCTTGGTTCGTCAGAATGGGCAAGTTCCCGCCCACGTTAGGCCGCTGGGTCCACGCAAGGGATGCATCGGCCTCACTGGACTAGAAGCGCGCGCCCGGAGTACCGAGCGCCCTCGCCGGCCAAGATTTGACAAACTTCCTGTAGAACCTCCGACCGCGCACCTGAGGGAAAGCTGGATGGATTCGAAAGGATCATGGGTCGCAGGCCGCAGGTCGCAGGTTTCCAGGGGAGCAATCAGGTTTTTAATGACAGACACCCTTTTCCCCAAGAACGGCTCAGCTCATTGCATTTGGGTCCCATGGGCTCGCTCATTCCTAGGGGGCGTCCTGGGAATTCATCACTTTAGGGGGACACCCCGAATCAATAGGATAGGTTCTAGTTAGATCCGTTAGAAATTCAACAGGGATGGGTTCTAGTTGGATCCGTCCGAAATCCCAAAAGTGATTGGGTTTCTGCCAAGCAGCCCCCCAACCCCCCTGCCACTTGGCGCGTGTCACTTCACGCCAGGCGGCTACGGCGAGGTGGTGCTCGTTGCGCACCTGGGGCTGGGGAAAAGATGGCTCAGTCCGACAGCTGGCCCTGAACTTTAATAGGGAACCCACCTCAAAAGTGAAAGAAGGTGGACATGAATCCCCACCGAATTCTGATCTCCAAAGGGTCCCTTATAAAAAGAAAAATATAAAATTCATAGCCAGCTCAGTCTGACAGAAACCAGGTTTCGGAGGTTCCACGAAAAAACTCCGGCCGGGCGTTGGATGATCATTTTTTTACTTTTTTTTTTTGGCGGAGGGTTTTTGTTGGGTCCACAAAAAAACACCTGAAAGAGCCCTCCAGTGGTCCAGCGGCACCCAGCCCCCGCTTTTGTTGGAGGCCTTCGATCCGCAAGCTCTCGGTTCTCCCGGAGAAAAATCCTTCCATGTGCTGAGGGAATATGTTCTTTTGGTGCTTCCCCTCCTAAAGGGACTTGATTTCACCAAACCTCCTTCCTCATGATGTTTCAGCTTGAAATCGTTAGAATGGCTTCCGGCGGCTTGGGGGCCATCTTCCACCGGGGAGGGGGAAAAAACACAAAAAAACGCGCGGGGTCGGGACGACTCGGGACGACTCGCGGCCTCGGACGGCCCATTTGACCCCACGGAAAGAATCTCGTGCTGACGACTGCTTGGCCCCAGGCCTACTTAAGGTTCCCCCTCCGGTTCCTTGGCTTTTTCGTGTTTAGTCGTTGGATTTCCATATTCAACCAACTAAAAGTTGTTGAACTTTTAGCAGGGGATCTGAGGACGGCCCAGGATATATATATGCATATATATATATAGAGAGAGAGTTGTTTGCTTTTCGGGGTCCCGATTCCAGGCAAGTGTGAGGGCGTGAGAGCGGATTGATTTCTCGGGGCTTTCGAGATCGAAAATCGAACGCCTCAGGCGCCAATTCTTGGAGATCAGCAGCTCGGTGCCCTTCGAGGAGCGCGTGGCCAAGCTCCGGAAGCTCTTGGAGGAGGCCGGAAAAACGGGTTTCCGGCCGGCTGTTCGATCCGGCCGGGAAAAAGCGCTTTTCCCGCGGATTGAAAAGCGCCGGGTTGAAATTGTGTTGGAAACATTTTTTCTTGTTGGTGTTCTTTGGTGCTTCGTTTGATTGAAAGGTTTTGCGCCAGAGCCTGCAAATAGGGTGGGTGTCCAACAACTTTTCTTCCAGCTACGGTTTAGGATGTGTGTGTGTGTAGTATGTGTTTTTTGCGTGTGTTTGTGTGTGTGTGTGCGCGTTGTTTCCACCCTTTTTTTGGTCTCCTTAAAAAAGAAGAAGCAAAAACACCTAGACACCCGGTTATCCCGAAAGCGTGTGTGACAAAGGTGATGCAAAAATGTTGTGATGTGCACAGGTGTGATGTTGCTTGTGTACACGGCGTCGTGCCACGTATCCAGCTCTACTCGACAACTGAAACTCATAAACCTACAGTCACACACGCCAAACAAACATTTAAGCAACCCATTTCAAGCATGCAGCAATCGCGTTGCAGCATTGCCTCATGATCCATGTGCAATGCTAAGCGGCGAACTTGAAACTGCGCAATCAAGCCCACGCATTCAACGCTGAGCTGCGCGCGCGCCGCTGTACAATCGCTTCGCCCTGGCTTGACAGTGAAAAATGCTATAAATTTATGTCTCTCTCTCGACTCTCTATCTCTTTCTCTTTATCTCTTTCTGTTTCGCTTTCTACTTCTCTTTCTCTCTGTCTCTCTCTTTCTCCCCTTCTTTTTATTTTTCTTTCTTTTTCTCTCTTTCTCTCTTTCTCTTTCTCTTTCTCTTTTTTTTCTTCTCTTTTTCTCTTTTCTTTCGCTTTGTCTCTCAGTCTCTCTCTCTCTCTCTCTCTTTCTCTTTCTCTTTCCCTTTTTCTCCTTCCCTGTATCTTTCTCTTTCTCTTTCTGTCTCTTTCTCCTTCCTTTTTTTGCGAGCCGGAGCTGCGGGAGTGTGCTTCGCGTACTACTTTTCTACTTAAAATGTGCAATTCTCAGGCCGGAGTTGCGGGAGCGCACTTCGCACAGAAAGTTGTCCCGCGGGCTAGGGGTAGGGCAAATAGACTAGACAACCCCTTTCCCTGACCTGCCAAAGTCATGCTGCTGCCACTGGCAGCGTTCTGTTTTTCAGGGGCATTGTTCTTTCCCTACAACCATCGCTCTTTCCCCAGGGCCGTCGTTCTTTCCCCAACCATTGTTCTTTCCCCAACCGTCGTTCTTTCCCCACAACCATCATGATTTCCCTTCTTTCCCCACCCCATCATTCTGTTCCCCAGCATCGTTCTTTCGATCAAAGATCAGTGTGTCCCTGTTATTTTTTCGCTTTTGCATCTGTTTTGGGTGAAAATTGGAAAACCAGAAAGAACGGGGAAGAATCGCAAGCTTTAAGTTTAGTCTAAGCCACACCTCCCCATTCTGAAGAGCTAACCCAAGTATCCCCAAAAATGGATACAACAACAATTGCCATCGAAATCCACTGTTCCCATTCTCTCCCTTTGCCGACCCCCAGCAGCCCACCAGGCCTCTCCCAAGCAGGGGCGGTCAGCCTTGCCCTTGTTGTGTTGCCCACATCCATGTCATGAATCATTGCCAAGGCGACGCTGACAAACATAAAGCCCGTGGCTTCACGGCAAGCATTGAAGCATCCTCCTGATGGCACCGCGGGCCCCTCATCAGCCAACCCACCAAAGTCCCGCGATCCAATTTTCCACAAGCTTCCAATTCACTTCCTCATTCTTTCAATGGGGGCCCACGCAGCAGTTGTCATCACTTTCGAGAGGAAAGACCGGAAATCCTAGAAAATTAGATGCTTGGAAAGAATGGGTTTTAACCGAAAATATGGCCTCATACAATGAAAATTCACGCGGCGCCACAGGGGGAGCGATCTGACACGCGCAATCTCCGCAGAGGGTTCGCGGGCCTCGTAGAAAATTCACGCGTCGCCACAGCGAGAGCGCGCAAACTCCGCAGAGGCGGGCCACGTAGAAAATTCACGCGGCACCGCAGCGAGAGCGCGCAAGCTCCGCAGAGGCGGGCCACGTAGAAAATTCACGCGGCACCGCAGCGAGAGCGATTCGACACGCATAATCTCCGCAGAGGGCTCGTTGGCGAAGTTGCAAACACGCACAGCGCCACAGCAAGAGCGATTCGACACGCACAATCTCTGCAGAGGGTTCGTCGGCGAAGCTCCGACACGCACGATCCCTGCGCCCGCCAGACCCACCCGCGGCCAAGAAAGAAGAGAATTCAAGGCTGCGAGCTTTGGCTGCGTGAGCTAGGCTGCGTAAGTCAGGCTGCGCAAGTGTGGCTGCGTAAGCCAGGCTGCGCAACGCATTCTGTCAGGCTGAGTAAGTCAGGCTGCGTAAATCAGGCTACGGGAGTCAGGCTGCGTAGGTCAGGCTGCGTAAGTCAGTTCGAGTAAGTCACGCTGTGTAAGCTAGGCTGCGTAAGTCAGGCTGTGTCAGTCACGCTGCGTCAAAAGAACCTTCGCGATGCTTTCGGGAATGAGGTTTTTCGCAAGAGCTCGCAAATGGGGTGGGTGTCTAAAAACTTTTCTTCCAGCTACGGTGTAGGATGTGTGTGTGTGTGTGTGTCTTACTTTTCTTTGGTTTTATCCGGCGATTGTGCCTGGCACCGAGTCAGACACCCAGTCAGTTGCGGCTCGAACACGTTTTCTTGGAATAACGCGTTTGGCTTAAACTCAACCCCTTAAAAGCTTGCTGGGCAGCAGGGAATGAGACTCGGAATCATTTTTGTTTTCTCGCGCACATCCGGGACCAATTCCTCTGGGAGATGGGACGTTGCGCTTGAGCCTTGAGACACGGGGTGTGAACAAAAAAAACCACCTGGGTCCGGGTGTCAAGGGACACCATAAGGAAGAACACAAGTTCCAGCGGTACGGTGTTTTCCCTTGGTGGCTTCATCACCGCGCCCAAGAGCCAAGATTTCGAGCGATGTTGGGAGTTGATGTTCGAAAGTTAATCAACCCCAGCCTATTAACAGGGGGTGTTCCCCTCCAAAAGCAAGATTCCCCACTAAACCCAGGGCCGATGACTATGGGGTCAAAATTACTCAGCTTGAAGCTATGATCATGTCGGATGTGTTTCGAGGTCCCCCAGTGGACCTAGAAGCATTGCTCAAAGCTGCGCGAGCGAAAACACCGACCGGCCTCACCTATCCTAGCTGAAGAAGTGCCCAGCCAAGCCAGAAAGCTTCCACTCTAGCAGGAACCTCGTTTTCCAGAATCCACTGAGTATACCGGCCATGGCAAGAGAGATTACGGTGCGGCAGCTGTGTGGGGCAAGCAAAGCATTTCAAGCGGCGGCAGACATGACCGTCGGGGAATTAAAAAGGGAGCTCCGCAGGTCGCTGCCCTGCGAAGATGAATCAAAGCGCAACATGAGCTCAGTGGAGGTTGTTGTTGGAGACAGGCCCTTGGTGAACAAAGAGGAGCCAGTGTCGGAGGCCATTCCAGGTACAGAAGTCCTGGCGTTCCTCAGCATCCAGCCGATACTGTGCTCAAGCTTCCAAGACTCCGGCTGCGAACTGGGAGATTTACTCGTAGTAGAGATTTCTGCTAGAGGGCAGGTCGAAGCGGATGCCTTCGCTGGCTGCAGCTCATTGGCAAGCGTGACCATTCCAACCTCTGTGATTGAGATTGGATATTGTGCCTTCCAAGGCTGCAGCTCATTGGCAAGCGTGACCATTCCCAACTCTGTAACCCTGATTCGAAGAGGTGCTTTTGAAGGTTGCAGCTCCTTGGCAGGCACGACCATTCCCAACTCTGTGACTGAGATTGGAGAATGTGCCTTCGCTGGCTGCAGTTCATTGGCAAGCGTGACCATTCCCAACTCTGTGACCCTGATTCGAAGAGGTGCTTTTGAAGGTTGCAGCTCATTGGCAAGCACGACCATTCCCAACTCTGTGACTGAGATTGGAGAATGTGCCTTCGCTGGCTGCAGTTCATTGGCAAGCGTGACCATTCCCAACTCTGTGACCCTGATTCGAAGAGGTGCTTTTGAAGGTTGCAGCTCATTGGCAAGCACGACCATTCCCAACTCTGTGACTGAGATTGGAGAATGTGCCTTCGCTGGCTGCAGTTCATTGGCAAGCGTGACCATTCCCAACTCTGTGACCCTGATTCGAAGAGTGCTTTTGAAGGTTGCAGCTCATTGGCAAGCGTGACCATTCCTACCTCTGTGATTGAGATTGTGATATTGTGCCTTCCAAGGCTGCGGCTCATTGGCAAGCGTGACCATTCCCAACTCTGTGACCCTGATTCGAAGAGGTGCTTTTGAAGGTTGCGGCTCATTGGCAAGCGCGACCATTCCCAGCTCTGTGATTGAGATTGCATATTCTGCCTTCAAAGGCTGCAGCTCATTGGCAAGCGTGACCATTCCCAACTCTGTGACCAGGATTGGCTATTGTGCCTTCAATGATTGCAGCTCATTGGCAAGCGTGACCATTCCCGACTCTGTGATTGAGATTGGAAATTATGCCTTTGCTGGCTGCAGCTCATTGGCAAGGTTGACCATTCCCAACTCTGTGACCAGGATTGGGAAAGGTGCCTTCGCTGGCTGCAGCTCATTGGCAAGCGTGGTCATTCCCAACTCTGTGACTGAGATTGAGAGAGCTGTCTTCAAAGGCTGCAGCTCACTTGCAAGTGTGACCATTCCCAACTCTGTGACTGAGGTTGGAGGGGCCTTTGGGGGAGGTGCTTTTCAAGATTGCAGCTCCTTGGCAAGCGTGACCATTCCCAACTCTGTGACAAGGATTGGATATTGTGCCTTCAATGGCTGCAGCTCATTGGAAAGCGCGACCATTCCCATCTCCGTGACTGAGATTGGAGAGGGTGCCTTTCAAGGTTGCAGCTCATTGGCAACGAGACCATTCCCAACTCCATGACTGAGATTGGGCGGGGGTGCTTCGAAGGAAGTGCTTCTGAAGGTTGCAGCTCATTGGCCGGCGTTACCATGTCCTTCTCCCTGAGGCTGCAGCTCCTGGGCAAGCGTGACCATTCCCAACTCTGTGACCAGGATTGGACATCGTGCCTTCAAAGGCTGCAGCTTATTGGCAAGCGTGACCATTCCCAACTCCATGACCGAGTTTGTGCCTTCCAAGGCTGCGGCTCATAACTCCCTTCAGGAGTGAGGTGAGAAAAAATACGACGAGTTGTGCGTCTTCGCTTGGAGTCAATTGAACTCCATGTTGCCAGCAATGCGGCTGTCGCTCGAAAATTGGATTCCTTTCCCACCCGGTTTGTAGAGCGCTGTCCGGTCCCTGGGGTTCCATTTTTTCGAGCCACATGGTTGCAATCGCCGCCTCCCGCACGCGAACAAAACAACTGACTGCTGGGGCCCAGCCCCTCAGGGTCGCATGATGGGGCGCTTTGGTTTTGCAGCATATGCCTCCGACTTCTTGGCGCTTCCTGCGCTGTTCAGATACATCAAAAAATCAGTTGCCCCCTACCAGGGAGCCATATATGTCCCTTCTTGGTGGTTTGAAGCATCACCTTTTTTGGCCCGTGAAAGGCGGGTGTTTCTTGGCGCGGGTGATGTTTTAATGGGAAAATAGGGAGCCCTGTTGAAACATAAGGGTTTGTGAGCAGCGCACAGCCACAAGCAAAATGCAAAGGCCATGGCTCGTGCAAATCGACGACTGGCCATTTAGGCACTCGCTAGCAATGGGGAGATTCTGATATGCATTACTCCACCGGAGAGTCCACAGGTGTTACATGGGCAACAGAGCTGTGAAGCCTTTCACATGACTATGCAATTGCTTGCAACGTTTGGTTTGTCCAAGGGGCACACGCTTGTGGCCCAGAGAAAAAATCGCTAGCCGCATTTCCTGTTAAAACCGCTAAGGGTGAACACCGTTGAACCAGGATCCACAGAATGACCCCAGATTGACGACCTAAACCCTTGCCATTGAGATAAAAATGACGCTGGTTTAGATAAAATCAACATTTATTTTATTCTCATATGCCTTCATAGGGGGAAAATCGGGGGAATTGATTTGTGCCCATAAGCATGAACCTCTCTTTAGCTGAGCAGTTTTTGACCTTTAGAACCGCGGCCCAGAAAAAGGGTCGCCGTTGCAAGTTGAGCCTTTCCAAGTTTCGTGTGGCCAGGCGGACCCAGACTTGGCGTCCATGTCCGGCATGCCAGCCAGCGAGGCGAAGGGAGCTCGGGAGCTGAACTTCGGATGTATTTGTTCATACCGTGGATGGTTGCGAAATCCATTTCGCACCACCCAAGAAACCGTGGGCAAGCATTGCTTTTGTATTCATAGGGGAATCATCCTTCCAGGGTTTCATAGGTGGTGCAGGATGTGGTCGTAAAGTTGGAAGCCAAATGTCCGCCGATGTTGGTGAACTCGGAGTTGTTTTTGGTGAGCCTGTGGTTGGGACACGGCCCTTGACAATGTTCCGGGAAGCGGGAGCATATTCAAAACTTCAACATGACAACCCTGGGTTGGTCAGCGAGCATTGGGCCGAGTGAAGGATCTTTTTCACGTGACCAAGCTCACCATGAGTCATCCAGGGGTTCAGGAAAATCCCGGGTTTTCATCACATAATTTCACTCTAAGAAATGGTCGAATAAAACAAGACCCGGGTGGCCCACACCTGACTTGCCCTTTGGCTTTGGACCTGAACCCAAACCCCCCCAAAATCCAAGGGCCGGACAGGTTCTTCGTGGTTTGCCCTTGCAGTCTGTGGTTTGACTGCAAGCAGCGTTGGTCAAGTGGCGATTCAGGAATTGACAGGTTCTGGCGTCGTTATTGATGTCTTGGGCCGAAGTTCCGCAGGAATCTTCGAAGCAAGGGCAGGGCGATGCGTAGGACCAGGGGTGAGTCATGGAGCCAAGAGTCAATGGGGCTGCGTGCTGCAGTGTGTGTCATGGGCGGAAGTTGCGCAGAAAGTCCCGACAACCAAGCAGAGCTGTGGTGGCTCGGCAGTCTTGATTGACGTGAAGCGTGGATCGGGCTAGGAAGGCCACTGGGCTGGGCCTGATGCTAGTTGCGCTTGGGTGGGTTGCTGGGCTGTCCGAAATTCATCTCATCGCCTTCAAAATGGGCCCATGGAGCTGGACACTGACGGACCCCGAAAATTTCAAGGCCGTCGGACAGGGTGTGGGCGGGGGGAGGTTTTTTTTGGGAGAAGAGATCTGAGCGTTCTTGGTTTTTTGGGGCCGGGTCGAATTTGGCGGCTCATATCGCTCTGGGCTTTCCAAGGGCCCAAGCGACAAAGGACTTTCGGCACAACACGATGCATTCAGCGCATATGTTGGCATGAGCCAACAGCCTTCAGAAGCTGTTGGCCCATTTGTGGCCCATTTGCATGCACGCTTTACATGATTCAGTCTGATCTTGACTTCGGCTATATCCAGACGACTCTGAGATCGATGCCCCATTTGATCTATCCATCCATTTGATCAATGTTCGCGTATTATTTGTTCTTTCCTTCTTTTACTCAAACGGGAACCCCAAAACCTGGAAAGCCGCGGGCCAAGGATCTGCAGAAGTTTGCCCAAGGGCGAATCACCTGTTCAGGCCGGAACAGAGCTCATTTCGGCCCTCCTCCTGGATGACTCCACCATGGTGGCCTAGCCGCGAGTCGAGTCGCGAGCTGCGGGGCGGTGAGTCCGTGCGAGTCCGATTTGGTTGGCATTTTCAGGTTTAGAGGTTTTGGGGCACAGATGCTCATATGCCACCAATATAAGTTGGTAACGCAGTAGGTACCCTTCTGTAAGTGGTATACATCCTCCATACCTGTAAAGCCCCTGACGAGAGATGTTTGATCCCCGCCTCCCAATTACTGGATTTGGACAAATTACAACGAACTCACCGGCGGAGAAAACGAGCTCAAAGTTCTTCTAGGAGGGCTGGCGTTGGATTTATAGCAATTTGCCGTGGTTTTCCTCGGCAATGAACGGAACACAAGGAAAACCAATCTAGAGAGTAAACGGCACTTCCGGACAAATCTCTCCAGCCTGCAGCCGCCTGGGATCTCGAGAAAGGCAAGGCGCGGCTCACCTCGAACCAAGTGATACGTTTGCTTAGTGGGGTCCACGTTTGTTTATTTTTTTTTTCGGGGGGGGGCTCCTATTTTGAAGGGGGATGGGAACACTCCCCAACAATTGGAAGGGTTCTACTTAGATCCGGGATCCAAATTCCGAGGGAGGTCCTTGGATGATCCGTTTGGGGGGAGACGCTTTGACGATTCCCGGCGTGTTGAGACTCTCGAGAGTCTCGAGCGCTTGGTCGACTGAGGTGCGATCCAACGCGCTGAATGCCTTGATGAGGCGGCTCTATCGATCCTTCCCGATCCAGGAGACCGAAGCGGTTCTTATAGCAGCTCTTTTCGTTTCTTTCCGGGCACCACGTTCATATGGCTGTGGGTCAAGACCAATGGTATACCATTTTGGGGTAGCTGCACCATCTATTTTTGTGGGGATTGGGATATTCACTGGGGGTACGGGGTTTTGACCCATGGCCATATGTCGTCAATTCCTGCTGAGTTTCATTTTGGTGTGATGTTGTCAAAGGAGGCACGAGAGCCCCGGGGGTTAGATACTTGCCGCTGGCCAAGTGAGTTTATGGAAGCTGCTGACAGGGTAATGTCGGCTGCACCAGCCAGGCCAACAGGAACAGCAAGAGGCCAGCAAGAGGCGCTAACAAGCCACCCATCACACCTGCAAAGACCGACAATGCCACTAGCCACTGCCAACAGCCAACAACCACTGCCAACCGACCCTGTGGTTGGCCATTGGCCAGGGAAGCGGCTTGCAATAAAAAGGCTCTCTCATCCTCACACCCAGGAAGAAGAGTCCTTCAGTCGTTCCCCCCTGTGTTTCGAAAAGTTGCAGGATGAACCCAATGAAGCGCTCCATCTTCATGTGCGGATTCAGAGCCATAGCAGCGGGAGCCATTGCAACCTCATAGTGACACTTAGTGACTAGTAGTGGTCGAATAGTGCCCTGTTTAGCGACTAGGAAGGACCATTTTTCATACCCTTCCCATGGCTCCCTTTGTGGCTTTGAAGCAGCAAGCAGCGTGGCATCCGTTTTCTGCTTGGACCTCAGGATGTGGAGATCACTGACGAGGGCGTGGGCAACATGCGCTGTAACTTCAAGCTCCTCGGCCAAGCGAGAGATGTCCGTCGTAGCTCCGTGAAGGCCGTGCTACAGCTCCGAGGAGACCCCCGAGCCAGTTCATTGCAACCCACCAAGAAAGCAAGCAACCGGCCAGCCAGCCATAACTTACCCCCCCACCCCCATCCCCATCCCCATGGAGCCATTCAGTAGCCCCCCAAAACCCAAACCCCCGGCAGCCGCTCCTTCCACCCCATCCCCAGAAAGCTCATTGCTCCCCGGCAGAAGAAAAAAAAGAGAAAAACCCCCCCCCACCCACCCCCCCCATCCTTCCACCCCCCCCAACCCCCCCCCAACCCCCCCCCATCCTTCCACCCCTCCAGGCCCCAGCCCGACCCCCTCTCCGGGGAGGGAGCCCCGCAGCGTCCGTGGCAGGTTCCAGTTCCCCGGCACTGTGGACGCCAAGCTCTTCCGCCAGGCCCACGTGAAAGTGGTCAAGAAGTTCGCGGAGGCGCGCGCCTCCGCGTTTCGCGCGCGCGTTTTTGGCGCGCGCGGTTTGGTTTGGTTGGGCAATAATGTGATCACCCTGCTATACGTCTTGCCAAAAGATGCTGCACAATCAGGTGAATTCACATAATCCGATACATTTTCTTTCAGCTGCCACCAACCATTTTGCTCCACCAATGTAGCACGTGCTGGGAAATACTGAGGTTCCCACATGTCTCTGGCGTCCTGAAAACTCTGACAGTTCTCGTGGCAAATACCTGGAATTCCACCTGCAAGACCTTCCAGGATCCAGGTCTATCCACAAGTTTCTTCTGCATTTCATCTGTAATTCTCACTGCCGCACCAACAACTGCACAAATGCTGCAAACGTCCTCCTGCACTCTGTGAATCTCAGCATTTATCGCGAGACTGTTCTTGCACATGTTGATGGGTATGCATACGCCTTTCTGCATCAAGCAACTTTTGCCATTGCTGCTCTGCAAACTCCAGGGAGTTGAAGCCAAAAAGCCGTGGGCCAGGTGGAGGCCCGCAAGGGGACGCCCGAAAACCGCCCCTTTTTGTTGTCATAAAAAAAACAAAAAAAACACTAATTCAGCTTCTTCTTCTTCTTTTCTTGTTTTTTTGGGGGGATGTGCCTCTTTGAAATCAACCGCCAACCGCCAAAAGAGCGCGTTGAGAAATCACGGTCCTCTTTCTACGCGGACTTTTGTCAACTTGTTTTGGAGCCAACAAAGTGCTCTCTCTCCCTCTTTTTTTTCACATGGATGGATGCTGGGGGTCTCGGTCAAGGAGACCAAGCGGTAGCCAAGGAAAAAAAGCAATCGTGAGGATACACGGGAAAGGGTATCAAGAACCCATGATGTCAACGGAAAGTCCAAAAGGGGTTTGCACAATGGTGGTTTGAACCATGGTCTCAATTGCAACCAAAGCGAACTGACCTTTGAACCTTTTGGTTTCCCTAATTTGGTTCAGTCGTCAAGGTTTCACAAGGTGATCGCCGTTCATTTCAAGCCGTTCCACATGAGTATTGGTTATTGGATACTTTTGAGTGTTGTTTTCCTGTGAGCCACCGCAAAGGTTCGTTTTGGGTTTAGTGAACAGGGTCGTTTGGGTGAGTGGTCGAAAAGGGGGTTCGTCCCCTTGCCATGTTCCCATCCAAGCAACCGGACCATTTCCAGGGTTCCTTCCCCTTTTCTGGGGTGCCACCATTTCAACAAAAGAATTCGGAGGTGTTTTATAGGAACACTCCACACTTTCGAAACACCACCATTATTTTGTTTACTTAAGGAGGTCCCCTAAAACCGGTTTAACCCACCTGGACCTTGCAAAGCCGAGGTCTCCAACCTTTTTTTTCGGGGGGGCTTGGGTCGCACGTCGAACTCCGCTTCTTTTTTCAGGTGCAGGAGGCCATGCAGGAGGAGATTCCCATGACGGCCTCGGAGAAGATGGCCAACACCCTGAAGGCGAGCGGTGTTTCTACAATCCTTTTTTTTTGGCAAGCGTTTTGTTCTTCTTTTCTTCTTTGTTTTCCACTTCTTTTTTTCTTTTTCCCCCGCGAGCTCACTTGGAGACAGAAGGGGCGAAAGCCATGAGAAGTTGTTTTTTGTTTCTGCTCACCTGGCATAGCGTAAAGAAAACCAGGAGAAAGGTTTCTGTACCTGGGGATCCGGTACTCGTAATTCAGCTTTGCAGGATCGAAATCCATGAGAAAGTTCCCTTTATAGGTTGGGGATCCAATTCGTAACTCAGCTTTTGGAAGAGCATTTTTTTTGCAGATACAATGGCAACGGCTCAGTGATTCTTCCCCTCCCACGTTGCCATGGAACCTGACAGAAGGTCCCTGGAGGAAAATTGTTATAGGGGCTCCTGTCAAGGTTCCATGTTAATGGGAGGGAGGGTGACTTCCGGCTTTTTCGCAAGAATCAATTTCTAGGTTTAGGGCCAAGTTTAGGGTTGAACGTTCACCAAGTATTTGGGTATAGATGTTGGTCATAATATTTAAGGATTGTTTCTGTTCCGGGGTGACAGTCACACACACACACTCACAGCCCAATGCCTCCGAACCTTTCCATGAACCTTCACCGGGCAAGCCATGACTTTACCATGTGACCATGGTAGGGAGCAAATCGGCCTTTTTCCTTCATGTTGTGTCCAGGTCCCTTGGGGCTGGTAAGAGTTTGCGTGCAGGATCGATAGCCTTAGGCATCCGAATCATGCAACGGAGAATTGATCCATGACCTCGCCAGAAGTTGCCTTGGGACAAATAACTCTGCAACCAAAGTGGCGGCCGGACTTGACCTTTTGTTTTCCCAGATTTGGCTTACCCCCCCCCCCCTGCCCTCCCCCCCTCCTCCCCCCGCCCTCTTCTCGAAAATTAACAATCGTAACAAAAGAACACAGGCAACAGACCAATAACAGCATCCCAAGCCTCGACGAAACAGAAAAAGGAAAACACAAACAGAAAACCTCATGAAAACAAAGCGAAAACGACCAATGACAGCATACCAAACCTCGACGGGGGGAAAAAACAAAACAGCTCGATCCAGGTGATTGTGACCGAGCCGGACATGGACTTCGAAGAGATGAGCCGCTCCATGGAGGGCATTTTGGCGGCCGCGGAGAAGAAGCTGCAAGCCGCCGGCGTGCGCGAGGCGGGAAGCCGGGAAGCCGCTCCGCTCGGCTGAAGCGAAGCCGCGGTCCGTGGGGGGAAACCGCGAAAAGGGAAACCACAAACCGTGAGAATTGGTTTGGGGGTGGGTTGGGTTGCTTTTGGGGTGGTTTTGCTGGGGTAGGTTTAGGCTTGGTTTGGGCTTGGTTTAGGTGGACAGCACGGAACACGGGACTGGTTTTACAGGGAGGCGCTTCCGAAAGGCTTTCCACGCGCCGAAAGGAGAAGTGGGGCATGAGTTTTCACACACGCTCACTTTGGCAAGACCCCTCCGTGGGTTTGAACGCCACTTTCTGTGATTTTTTATTTTTATTTTTTAAACCACGGGTGGCCCAAAAGCATAACATCGCAAGCGAGGTCGGCCCAACGCTGCAGGATGCGTTCTTTTTCCCTACACGAAGCATTCGTGAAGCAAGCGCGAGACAGCGCCAGGCAAGGTGCTCTGCGCAAACTGGTCGGTGCAAGTTGGTCTGCGCAAGTTGCTCTACGCAAGTTGCACTGTGCAAGTTGCTCGGCGCAAGTTGCTCCGCGCAAGTTGCTCCGTGCAAGTTGGTCCCTGCAAGTGGCTCCCTGCAAGTTGCTCTGTGCAAATTGCTCCGTGCAAGTTGCTCCCTGCAAGTTGCTCTGTGCAAGCTGCTCTGTGCAAGTTGCTCTGTGCAAGTTGCTCTGCGTAAGTTGCTCTGCGCAAGTTGCTCTAGACAAGGCGCTCTGCGCAAACTGGTCGGTGCAAGTTGGTCTGCGCAAGTTGCTCTGTGCAACTTGCTCTGCGCAAGTTGCTCTGCGCAAGTTGCTTTATGCAAGTTGCATCATGCGACGCCCAACCGCGGACCAGGGAGGAATCGAACCCGCGACCCGCCGGTCCCGGGAGCAGGCGCACGAACCACGAGACAACTCCCGAGGACCAGTTCGAACAACAAAAGTTGAAAAACCTCGAGTTTTTGCACCTCGACCACGCAGAGGGCTGCGCGAGCACCGCAGAAAACGCAACACCTCGACCGCGCCGATCCCCGCAGAGGGTCGCGCGGGAACTTTAGAAATCGCAAAAAACCCGAGTTTTTGCACCTCGACCACGCCGATCCCCGCAGAGGGTCGCGCAGGAACTTTAGAAATCGCACCTCGACCACGCCGATCCCCGCAGAGGGTCGATTTTCGTGTAGTGTCGTCGGCACTACCCCGCCGCCCTAAGAAGAGATTTTACCTCCTTGCAGGTCAATTGCACTTGACCCCTTGCACTTGCAACTTGCACTCCTGCACTTGCAACTTGCACTTGACTCCTTGCACGCACTTTGCACTTTGCACTCCTTGCACAACTTGCAGTTGACTCCATGCACTTGCAACTTGCACTTGACTCCATGCACTTGACTCCATGCACTTGGCTCCTTGCACTTGGCTCCTTGCACTTGCAACTTGCACTTAACTCCGTGCACTTGCAACTTGCACTTGACTCCATGCACTTGGCTCCTTGCAACTTGCAATGACTCCAATGACTCCTTGCAATGACTCCTTGCAATGACTCCTTGCAATGACTCCTTGCAATGACTTTGCAATGACTCCTTGCAATGACTCCTTGCAATGACTCCTTGCAATGACTCCAATGACTGCAATGACTCCTTGCAATGACTCCTTGCAATGACTCCTTGCAATGACTTTCATGATGATGATTCCTTGCAATGACTCCTTGCAATGACTCCTTGCAATGACTTTGATGATGACTCCTTGCAATGACACCTTGTAATGACTCTCATGAGAACAACTGCGGAAGAACCCTTCGCCATGCTTTCGGGAAAAAAACCCAAAAAAAACAGAAGGGGTGCTCCCTGGGATGTAGTTTTAGCACTGCAAAGCATTTTCATGTTAAAATCGCATCCCCACCAACACCCGGTCTCTAAAAAAGGGGATGCCCTTGCAAGTGAGAAATTTGTCCTAGGGCGCACCATCGCACCATCATAGTTTCGCTTCCGGTGGGGCTCGAACAACGAACAGTTCTGCCGATTTCATAGTCATCGATCTGGGGGTAAACCGTCAAGGGCAAATTTCCAGGTATGTTTTCTGGAGGTATGCCCTTGTACGAGTCGTATACAACCTCCACACCTCCCCAGACCCATACCCGAGAGTGCCCCTAAACTGAGCGGAACCAGAGGAAGGGGCGGTGAGGGGCCTTTCGTAACGTTGGTGGATGATGTCCGCCAGAAGAAGCACACACAGCCCAGATCAAGTCGGAAGAGCAGGACAACTCCATCAGTTGCCGCAGTTTGCCAGGGTGCTGCACATGGTTGAACTGCAATGTTTCGGCGATCAACCGTGGGTGCTATTTGGCTGACCTGAGTTCAGCACATTTCGGGAAGACCATTCTAGTGGTAAACAGCTTTCAGCGAGTTTGGCAACCACTCAACGCTTGTTTCTTGGCCGCTCCGCTCACGCCATTTTTTCTTGAGTGGATCGCGCTTGTAAATACCAACCCACCTTTTGGTTTCATTCATTCCCGGTTTCTCCTTTCGGGGTGCGAGGCGCTCCGCGTGCGGAGAGTTCGGTTCGGAGATTCCGAGATTGCGCCAGGTGGGGCTGGTGGTGGCGAACAACCCCCACGCCCCGCGCTACTCCTCCTTCATGGCGGAGGAGGGCTGGAAGGAGCGCCTCGCATGCCGCGCCTCGGCGAGGATACCGTATGCATCGTGAGGTCCGGTGGCTTGCTCCCACCGAGATCTCCACGAAGTGACGAAGTGGCGGGTAGGTATGTTGACCCCCAAATTAAGCAACCCCAGTTTAGTTAGGGACATTGGGGGGTGGGTTGGGTTGGGGCGGATGGGTGTGTGGGGTGTGTGGCTGGGGGTGGGTAGAATCGAGCGGTCCGGCGCCCGCCGCACTCCACGACTTGGCGGGGCAATCGGAGGATGTGAAGGACAGCTCTTTTGTTGTGTGGGCTTTTGCGCTGTTTTTGTCTTCTTCATTTTTTCTTCTCAGGGAGGGCCTGCCTCTCTCATAGCGTGTCCAAAACAAATCAGTAAGGAATCGCTTTTGGGCGTCCCTTGAAAGGAAGAACAACCATCAGGTACCCCTGAGCAGGGGATTCAAGTTCGGGGAGTCTGGGAATAAATCAAGGGGTTACTGTAAAGGGAAACAAGCATCAGGTAACCCTGAATTAGTTGAAGCGCTTTGGATTGATTCGGATTTGGATGTGAACCCTTCAGGTTTTGGAATTGTGGTAAAACACATGCAGAGACCACATCCAGCTGGGTTTCGGCCTTTGAGTTTTCCCATGTTGGCAACCCAACTTGTATCTATTGTGAAGGGCAGTTTTTTTTTTTTTTCAGATGCGTTGGTTGCGCATCTTTGTTTCCGGGGTTTTGTTGGTTTCCTCCTGACGCATGTGAGTCTCGCATGCTTGGATGGTCACCCTTTAAGCCCTTGAGCAGGTCATAACCTAACAGCTCCCTCTTGAAATCGTTAGCAATAGGTCCCCGTGGTTCAAGCCTAATAATGAACCTGTGGTTAATGAATGGGGCTAGGGGCGGGGGTCTCCTTGTAGTGAGGGGTTCATCACTTTTTGAAGGGGCCGGGCCCCGGTATCAAAAAACGGACGGGCTTATGAATCCAACGCGTTTTTGCAATGGGTGATAATACCTACATGCAATGCAGGGGGTTCGCTTTGGAAAATCAGCTGCCCCCCAAACAGGCCGGGGGAATTGCCCGACCAATCCCATGGTTCAGCTACGTCCCTGAGTCAGCTACCTGTCGTATTCACTCGCCACTCGCGTCAGCTTGAATGGGTGTTTGGAATGAAGACTTGCCTTCATTTGCTTTAGTCCCCAGACATATACGCATCATAAATAAATATTATATATATATATATAGATATATACATACATAACTCATGCCGTATCCAGTCACTCGCCACTCGCCACTCGCCACTCGCCACTGGACTCAGGGGACATGAAGCCGTCGCTGCCCAACGTGCTGGAAGTCTACCGCCTGTCGGAGGAGTATCAGTTGGAGCCGGTGGTGCCCCCGGTGGGCCGCAACTCCAAGGCGCGAGGGAGCGAGCGCTGAGCACTCCGGGGGAAGCTTCGGGAGAGCCGTGTGCGTGTGTGTGTGTGTGTGCGCGCGCGCGCGCGCGTGTGTGTGTATGTGTTTTTTGTTTCTCTTTTTTTTTTCTTCTTTTTTTCTCGGGGTGTGGCACAAAAGTAGAGGTCCCGAGAGTGGGTGTTTTTTTCGAACTTTGGCTGAGGTAGGGGACAGGGGACAGAGAGTCTTGGTGAATATAAATTTGCATGGTGGGAAGAAAGACCCGCTCAAATTGTTGGACAGATCCCCACCTAAAGAGGGACCCCAACGAAAATTCACACCTCTTCCCTTGTGGGCCAGTTTGCGTCGCACTTTGGCCTGTAGTTCATTTTTCCGAGGGATCTCCCTGATGAAAGGACACCCCCCACTCAACAAGCCTCATATTTTGGCGTCGGCATGGAGGCTTGGGAAAGGGAACCGTGGCAGGGAGCAGAGGAGCAGAAGCCTCGCAGAGGTTTTATCAAAGGGGCAAAAGAAAGGCCACCCGAAGCAACTTCTGATCCCATGGGGGGGCTTTCCTTTTCACCACATGAGCCACGTGCTCAAAACCGATTCGGGTAGATGAAGGTTAGTAAGGGGCAGTCCCAGCCAGAAATAGTTGCGGATATCCGCCTTCTTAATTCTTTACATGGTTCTGGGTAGACCATTTTGTTACCGGGTTTTGATTGTCACTCACATGTGCGGGCTTGGTGATTGTGAGAGTGCCAGTTTGAATGACCCGGTGGAATCAGATGCAAACTCAGCTGAGACCCAGCTGCAATGCGTATGCGAGTTCCACGAAGCATTATTCCGAAAGTGTTCTGAAAAGCTTGAGACGGACAGTTGACATGAATTAGCAGCTTAAGCATTTGTTGCTCAAGCATATCCCGTTTGTTTAATATGCGTTTTTTTTTTTGGGTTTTTTTTTTTTTTTTTTTGGGGGAGCTTTTTTCAATCAACTGCCGTTTTCCCCTCTGTGTTTTTCCTGGTTTTCTGGAATCCGTGGACATCGGGAATTTTTCGGCTCCAGAGCCGTGGCTTTGACTGGAAGACCGACGACTCGTGGCAGGTGTCGACCAGGAAGACTTGAGAAACAGGATGAGTCTGGGGTTCGATTCTGCCAGGAAGACCAGACGAAACGGGGTTAGAAGCACCCTCCACCCCCCCTCCTCTTCAGGGTGGAGGCTCTTCAAGGTGGAGGCTCTTCAACTTGACTGCTCTTGGATCTTTAGACTTTCACTTTTCGGGAAATCAAGTTGGGTTTTCTACCAAACCCACCAAAGTTAAAACACTTTTTGCAGAGGGGTCAGCAGAAACCAAGTTCAAGCTGGAGGTCTTGTTGGGCCCCGATCTGGGGCTGTCTGAGCGCCAGGTGTACGTGGGGACGCCCATCGATGTGATCCCGTCCAAGCGGAGCCCCTCCACCATCTTTGCCCGCAACTCCTTGGCAAGCTGCGCCGAGGGGTGGGGTGAAGAAGGTGTCGCTACTTGGGTGTTCGGCCGCGTTAGGTGAGTTGTTGAGCTACGCAGTGCTCCACCGACTTTTGAGTCCCCACTGACTGAGGGTTAAGCTTTGGGGGGTTATATCCCAAGTGGTTTTCTGCAAACTAACTTGGCGCTTGAAGCATCCAAGGAGGTTCGGAGGCAATCCTTTGGAGGCATTGGCTGGCAGCCTCCGGGCTCCGGATTGCTTCACCAGCTTGATTTCCCCCAGGGTCCCCGATGATCGGTAGGCGGCTGGGTCGTGGCATGTTGCCGTTGGATCACGGTGTGTGTGTGTGTGTGGTTCATTTGGGTCAACCTTTGCTGCCCTTTGTTTTTATTTGCCCACCAAAGTGATGGTTGTAGAACAGGTTAACATGGAACCTCAAAAACCACAAGTTGTAAAGGAAACTCCTTTTTGGGCGACCCCCTTTTTGGGCTTCTTCTGTTAATTTGTAGGACAGTAAATCCTAGGTTTAGAAGCTTTGCACGTCCAAGTCATACCAAGACGAGGTATGATGAAGCACTCTTTCAATCCTGATAGGGTGGCAGGTGTTCCCCTCCAAGCGTGGTCTGAGCCTCTTTTTTCAAGCGGACACCCCCAACCAAGCTCGAGGGATACTCAACTTGGATTCGGGGTTCCCATGTATTCCACGAGGTATGATCTATGAAGCACTCTTGACCCCACATGACCCGAGGTATGATCAAGCACTCTTTGAAGGGCTTTCCGGATGGGAAGAGTTGGTCCGACTCGCTGGAGAACCTGCTGCTGAATGCGGTGGATGAGATCGAGCGCGCGCGCTTGAACCCCAAGATCGGCTATGGCCCCAACAGCGCCTCGTTCGCCCAACAACCGACGACTCGTCTTTCCAGTTGCCTCGCTTGCCCAAAGCGAGTCGACCTAATGAAGGCTCTTGGTTTTCTCTTGTTGGCCCACTTCTATTAAAGGTCCCAAAAGGTTGACCTTAGCAATTTCCTGGTCCAAGCTGCACAAGCGAGTTGGCCCCAGACCCCCCCCCCCCTCTCCCACCAAAACATTGATGCTTGTCACTCTTCTTTCTCCCATTGCCACTGGCGTGGGTTGTGGGCTCAATCCTGGTCCAACAGATCGAATCGCCTTTTGACCTTTTGGCTTTATTTGGATGCAGACCCCGGCCCCCCAACATGGCAAACGGCTTCCTGTTGGTGTTTCTGTTGTTTTCCAGTACCGAGCCTCAACCAACAAAAACAAATCACCCATATTTACATTTACGGCCCTTCGGCCCTTCGATCACCCTCTATTTGGTAAGTCCTGGAAAAGTCAGCCAAAGTTGACCGGGCTATATGCGCGCCTACTGTGGATGGTTGCGAACTCCTGCACTAATCAGCCCTGGAATGTTGCTTCCCCTGTAAGTACCCCCAGTAGTGCCCTTTTTAACCCCCTTTTTGGTTGGGAGGGTTCCCCTACTAAAATAGACTACAGAAAAAGGGTACCATTATTCTAACCTCTCTACTGGAGGACCTAGCCTGCAAGTGCCAACGAACCTTACGGTTTCAGTCCCATGATTTCTGAACGTGCGAGACTCGCGACAGGGATTTTGCGTAACCCTCCAGCATGTCACATTCGCCAAGATGAGGGTTTCATTCATTCCACCCAAAAGGCCCAAGTCCCGTTAGATGGAACCATCTCCTCATAAACCCATGAATGTTTAGATGGGTTGAGAACCCAAGAAGCCAGGTTTAGATGGGTGTCACTCATTCCCAGAGCAAAAGCAACAAAAAGAAAGGGCCGCTGGCCTAAACCCATGAATGTTTAGATGGAATCCATCACACCCATTCCATTCCCAGAGAAAAGGCCCAACAAAAACAAAACAAACAGGGCCAATGGCCAATGGGTGGCTCGAGGCAACATTTTTGCGCACTTGCTCACCGTGGTGGAGATGGAGGCCAAAGAGACCTTCGAGGTCCTGGAGGACGATTTCGGAAAACGCGAAGCGGGACGAGCGGACAGCCCGACGCTCCCAGTGACCCTCCCGACCAAAATAAAACAAAAACACACACACAGAGAGAAATCTGGGTGTTTCTCAATTTCAGAAGGGAGAAACAGCAACAACCTCGGTGTCTTCCTCCAAAACAGAGAACACGGAAACGAAAAACACAGAAACACCTGAGCGTCTTCCTCAAATGCATCGACTCCCTGCCAGTGCTTGGTTTCGTGGTGGTGATCTCTTAAGAGGCAACGGCTTTTCAAGGATACCTGCTAGGGCTCTGTTCAACCAGGGGCCACGAAATAGTTCCACGAACCAGGAAGGTTCGTCAACCACTCATGAACATAGGTGTCTTTTCTAGGTTCGTGTGGTTAGACATAGGCGGGTTGTCACTTTGCAAGTTGGGAGCCGTGAGGAGTTTGTGAACAACTTCGTCGCCAAGCACGGCAGCCGGCTGCAGAAGAGCAAGGCCGGGTGCCGTGTACCCTAAGGTGACCGTACCCTCACGTCCTGAGTTGGTGGACTTTAAACTTTTTGGGTTTGGACCATTTTAGTGGTAAATAAAAAGTTCCAGAACCTTTTTTGGCCAGTCAACTTGGGAAGTGAGAATTTACCTGCGCCCTTCCTCAGTCACAGATGCACCTCGCGGATCTCGGGATAATGATGTTGGGCGAATGGTAGGGCTCGAAAAAACTTGGCGCTCAAAGGTTTGGCCCAAGTCTGGTGCCCCGAACAGCCCCACCTTGGGTTTGCTGCTTCTGCGTGCAGGCAGTCCGTGCTCCCGGACTTCTCTGACAGATTTTCTGGGGGCCGATGTTCGGGGCAGCGACCGGGAATTCCCTGCCGCCTTTGTCAGTTTCACAGCTGTGCAGTCAGGTAACCTTGAGTTGGGAAACCACTAACATCCAAGCCACCGGGCCCCCAAACCAGAAAGCTCGGGCGGTGTTTGTGGCTTCCCTTGCCCTAAGGTGTCCAAACCGATCCCTTGCCTTGCCCCCCAGCAAAAAGCGGAGGTTCTCAACCACACAGGTCCTGAGAGCTCATTTTTCTCTGGCTCCAGGGGCGAAAATCCACCAGGTCTCACCCTTTTAGGGTGAACCCCATGTCACTTTTTTTTTGGGGGGGGGGGGGTAAGCCATGGGCCCAGCAGGTTCACCTTGAGAGTCGGCCCTGACTGAGTTTTTTGGGGTCCCTAAGGGGCAACTGAGCCGAACCCCTGAGAAACAAAAACAAACAAAACAAACTTCCTGGGGTTGCGTTTCTCAGATTTCTGAGCTGGACATTTTACGTTTTTCGGGGGAGGACACACCCAGTGCCAAACAGAAAGTCTGGACATCAGAAGTGCAGTTTTGGCTTCCTCCCTACAACTCCTGCGGTTTCTCCAAATACGGCTCCATTTCTCAAAAAAGCCCACGGGTTTCCTCGCGAGGTTTCCTTGCGAGTTACCACCACGCGACTTCCAACTTCCATCTTGAAAGGCTCCCAAGTTCTATTTTTTGTATTCCACCCTGGGAATACACCGGGTGTTGACCCCATTCAGGCATCTGTCCGGAGAAAACCGTGGCAAATGTTGAACCACCCTGGGTCATTTCCCAAGGGTGTAATCCCAGGGTGTAATATAAAAGCCCTCAGACAAGTCAAGCATTTTTTGTTGAGGGGGTTGCCGGGGTCGCCAATTTTCTCAGAAAAGGTGGCAAAAAGACCCCCCTGCTCCCAAAAATCTCCCATTTGCTCAAGAATATTATGTTGTTTTCCCCTGTTGGTTTTAAAGGGAATCTATCACTACTGGAAATATTTGCTCATTTTTTCCTGGGGCCTTACCCAAATGGAAGTCTTGAGAAGCTCCGTGGGAGACTTCAGGTGGACGAGATCGTGGTGAAGATCGGCGTGGGCAGCAACTCCGAGCGGAAGCAGACTCTTCGCCTCACGGCCAGCTCCATGACAGGCGCGGGGGCGCGGGCGTGAGTGGAAATGGTCGGTGCTGTCGGTGCTTGGTGGGGGCTAGGGTAACCAAGGGGAATCCAGCCAATTTGTACTTTGGTGCATTTTGCCAAGGGATGTTAGGACTTTAACTTTTTGCCAACAAATGGGGTTTCCATTGAACCACTAAAAGTTAAACTTTTAGCAGGGGAGCAGAAAGCAACCGAGTGTAGGGGCCCCCTATTCTGAGAAACGCCTAAGCCAGCAAGTAAGACAAGGAGCTAAAGTACAGATTGTCTTACGTTTATCACTTAGTTTGGCTGTAAAGTGCCCCCCCCACAACCCCATCCCTTATACTTATAATAAGTTAACTGGGGAGAGGCCGCTTGCCATGGCTATAAGTGGCTTGAAAGCCAACAAGTCCAGCCTCAGGAAGGGGCATCAGGGACTATCGACCACACTGGCAGTTCTCTACAAGTTAGCACACACCCCAAAGAGCTCCAACTGAACGCTATGAGTTTTAACAAATGCAAACAATGCGTGGACATGCTTAACATGATAACTGCTGGTGATGCTCAGGATGCGTCCTGGTACTGATGTTCCGATTAGTCACCCTCGTCGTCAATCAAGCACATCATCATCGTCAACATTTTCCGTCAAAATCTAAAACTGCGGCTGCTTCCCCTTCCCCCCCACTTGGGATGTTACAATGGTGAAGAAATGGGCCAGTCCAACCGGCAACATCACGCGAATCAATTGCAGTCTCTGAATGTTGACGTAGTGACCCCGCCAGTCGTTTCGCCCAGCGTCTTTGGAGTAACCTAGGGGAACCCAGTCCTTTCGCCCAATGTTTTTTGGAGTAACCTAGAGGAACGCGCCGAGTTCCTTTTTTGTGGGAGAATGGGTTCCTCGTTTAGACAAGTTCCTCCGTGTTCCGACCTCATGGGCACCCAGGATCCAGCAACGGAGTCCAGTAAGGGGGGGGGCTCCAAACCGGTTGATGGAGCCCCAAAACGGGTACAAGGGAAAGCCACTTTATGGGCAGAATCCCGAGCAATCACCTTGAATTGAAATTCGGAGCCTGGGGGACGACCCCAACTTTGTGTTGGATTAAACTGAGTCCCTGCAAAAGTGGGCACTTCCCGCTGGGTTAATCGAAGGTTGGTGTATTGGGAGGGAACATGGGGAATGCAGCGGACTCCCCGCTGCCCAAGTCTTGAGGTTCCATGTTGGTCTATGTAATATTTGGGAGGGAATATTCTAGGAGTTGATTCCTCATTCTTTTAAACCATTGTTCTTTTCAAAAAACGGCTGGTTTGCCTGGGATTCCGATGGTTTTCTGGAAAGAAGGATTTTCAGAAAGAACGGAATTGGAAGTGTCCCCTAGACTTATAGGTCCAAAAAAAAACTGGGGGTCGACAAAACAGGCAAACCCCCTTGGCCTCTGTCAGTGAAAGTGTCTCCCGAAACATGGAATTGGAAGTCACAACATCTCCGCACAAAGACCAGGAGGCTCGCGCTCGACTGCCCCTTTCTTGAGGTTCCTTCACGCCACGGCCGTGTTTTCTCACCGCGGCGCATTCAGGCGAATACCTGCGCACCAGCGGGGCACTGGAGACCTATGATCTCATCACCGGCTCCCCCACGCAGTGGCGCCACGGCTAAAGGTGCCCCCAATGGGGTTTGGAGCGTGGGGCTGTGTTGGTTTCTCTTTTTTTGGTGGGCTTGATCTCAGGCAAGCCAGGGACTCGAAAAAAGAATAAAAGAAAAACAAACAGCGCAACTGGAACTTCAGAAAAAGAAGAAGAAAAGAAGAAAAACGGAACGGACCAACAGCCACCCCCAAGTTCCAACAAACCCATGGTCGCCCCGGTTGTTTCTTCCTTTTTCCACCGCCGGGTTCGTCCGAGCGCCGAGGTTCGACCTGAAGAGCGGCTCCGAGGCGCAGCTGGCCTCCAGCAAGGCGCCGCACGCGGTGGGAAGCGGGGGGTGAAGCGGGTGGGGTGGCCCAAGATGGAACCGGTTCCCACACGGGCGGCGGAGGCGGGGGGGGGGGGGTTAAAACGGAGCTCTAGTTATAGGCGTCTTTTTTTTGGTTGGATGGCCTGGAAGATGGGAATTTGGGGCTGTGAGATGAAATGTGCGGCAGGGATGCAGCATGTGATCTTGCCGTGACTTTTTTAAAAGCCATTCCAAGTGAGACGGGGGGGGGGTTCTCTACGTTGATGTTTGGAAACATGGTGTAGCCGGAAGCTGAGAATGTTTAGGCCAACCCTATGTGGGGTTAAAAAGGTATGCCTTTTCCTGCCAGGGTCTGGACAACTTGGCCATGATGTTGCTTGTTTCAAAGTTTTTGTGAGGGGCATGCGTGTGCTATAGAATATTCTGTTCTTCTCCACCCAAAAAGAAAAGAAAAAAGAACGGACGAACACGAAAAACAACAAAAAAGCACAGAACACGCACTAAACTACGAACATGGTGGAGCAGTAAAAGAACAATGTAACAACAAACACTCGGGTTTACTGGTGTTTTTTCCATGTGAAACACACCCAACTCGCGCTTTTTCGGCGCCGACGTTTCGGCCGACGCGGTGCCTCCCGCCTCGCGTGAGAGGCCAAGAACCGGCTGCAGCTGCGGCGCTCGGTGGCGCGGAACGCGGGGTCCACCTACGCCCCGGACTTCCTGGGCGCCACGGAGAAAAGAAAAAGTGAAAGACGGGGGGGATGTGAGGGGGGCAGCGAGGGGGGGAGAGGCTTAGAGGGGGGGGGGGAGGGCGATTTGAGGGTGGTTGTGTTGGGTTTTATTTTTAAGGAGTTGACTGTTTTTTGTCTTCGGGGTCTACTGGGGGTTTACTGTTGGCGGGTCCCAGGGAATCGTCCGGTTCAACTTGATGTTTTTTGTTTGAGTAGATTTAGTGGTTGGGTTTCCGAATTTATCCCACAAGTTATTCACTTTTCGTGGTGGATCAGTTTGGACAGCCCAGTTTGGTTGTCTGGGGTCTAATGCTTGGTCAGGAAACTGGCCTTTGTGTGGTTTCTGAAGAGTTGTCAAAGGGACAGTTTTGGGTTGAAGTCCGTTTTGGTTTCTGGGCGTCAAGGTCAGAAACCGGTTGATGGCTTCCCTACACTTTGATAGTGGTGAAGCTTTGGGGCCTGTGAGTCTCTCCGTGCCTTGGGTCCGCTTCTTGTTTCTTTTCTTTCTTGGACGGACCCCGCTAGTAAACAGCAAACAACTTTTGCAGGGGAAGTGCTTGGCGTCCGGAAGGAATCTCTTCCGTGTAATTACCCCAGATGTGGGCCAACATTTGTGAGAAAACTTCCAGAAGTTGAGGCCAACTAGCACGGGCGCAGTGTGGCTATGAAAGTGTGAAGCAATGTGTGAAACCGCGCAAGGTAGGCAAAGGGCCCTTTTGGGGTTTCACTCGTTGATTGGTTCCATGACCGGACTTCTGGGGTCCACAAATTGGGCCAAGCCACAAGCCCAACCAGATCTTCACGTTTTTCCGCCCTCCCATTCCTGGCCGCACCCTCGAGAAATCCTGAGCCCGCGCGAGGCATGCTGAAGATCGAGCTCATCAAGAAGTGGGGCAGCTACCACGGCAGCGGGGGCTCCCGCAAGATGCCCTCCAACATCTTCAGGTCCAAGGAGCCCCGAAGGGGAATGAACCGGTGAACCGCTCCGCTTGGAATTGGAATCCCATTTTGGTTCCGGAAAGCCGCCGGGGGGTTGAAACCAAGACCATGAACGCAAGAGAGGGGTTTGTGGAATGGTGTGGAGTGGTGGCTTGGGGATTTAAGACGCCCTGGTTCTTGAGGGCAAATGGGGAGCCACCCACCCTCCACCCTCCAAACCATGACTCCCAGCCAAGGCGATGACGGGGGTCTCGAGAAGCGATGGGGTTTCGATCGGATTTCGGAGGTCGGATTGGTCAGGAGTCATCACTTTGATTGTTTTTTTGGGGTTCTCAAAGTCGGAAATTGGGGGTGTTTCCCTTTGACCTACCATTTGGGGGGTGACTTTGATGGTGGGGAAAATTCTGGGGCCAGTTGGTCAGAGGGTCGAAGCGGTCGAATCGGATTTCGCAGGTCGGATTTCGGTCAGACTGAAGGAGCTGGTGCTGGAGGAGGGGGAGATCAAGGTGAAGGACAGGGAGCCGGGGCAGCACGACATCGGCATGATCGCCTGGCGCTGCCGGGGCCCCAGGTGAGCTGCATGGGCCTTTGCAGGTTTCCAAGACCCCAACCCCCCCCCTCGCCCAACCCCCCTGCGCCTGACTCTGCTCGGGTGTTTGGCCAAGTTAGTAAGTGGTTAGCCACCTGGGTTATCACTCACAAATGACTCGGTTAACCCCACTATAAGTGGGTTATAACCCAGGTGGCTAACCACTTACTCACTTGGCCGAACACCCAAGTATCCAGGCACGCTGTGCTCCCCGGAGTACCCGGCGGGCCGGGACATGGTGCTGATCGCCAACGACGTGACACACAAGGCCGGCTCCTTCGGAGTGGACGAGGACCGGAGATGTGGGGCCCTGGGTGGGGGGGGGGGGGAGGGGGGTGGATCCATAGCGTGGGCTTCTGGGTGGCTGTCACTTGATGGGGTTGGATCTTTAGGCTTTGGCTTTTTGGTTGAAATCAAGTCGGGCTTTCCATGAAATCAACAAAAAAATGAACTGTTTTTTTGCGGAGGGGCTAACAGCAACCAAGTTCAAGGGAAGGGAAATCAGAAGGAACGCACCCGTTTTAGGGCTCCCCTATTCTGAGACACAGCCAGATGCAATGAACCGCTGCTTGTCGGCACTGGATGGTGTCCCAATTTGGGGCTTCCACTTTGCCTTTTTATCAAACTGCTTCATATGTTTGGCCATCCCATTCCCATTTTTGGCCCTTGTTTTTGCGCATTTATGCGAGAGATGCTTTCCCATCCGCAGCTGTTAGCCAGAAATTTCCTCATGATAGGAATCGCCCCCAAAAAAGAACGCCTACTTGATTCACCTGCCCTCAGCGCATCGACCTTGTGACTGTTTTGTGTTCCATTTTTCGTCAATCTTTGGTCAATTGGTTCCAAACAGGTCCTTTTGGGCAAGCGTGGGAGCCCTCCTTTTGTGGCCCGAATTCGAAACCGAGGGGTGTGTGTCTTTTTTGGAGTCGGACCCTTTTTGGGCTGGTTTGCAAAGGGAAGCTTATGGGAACACCATCATTTTTTGGGGGGTCCAAATCCCTATTTTAAGACACCAAGCGGATTGGACAAAAATAGCAGGACCAACAAAGAACTGAAATCTCAGATTCCCTCGACACAGGTGGTGTGGCTGTTGACCTTTTGGGTTCCCGATTTCAGTCATGGTCCTCAAACGGTGATCACCCTTCATTTCCGGTTTCCTTCTTTGGGCAACTGGGCTCTACAAGGCCCGACGCAAACAAAGATCCTGCCCCCCCTCGGAAGACCAAGTCAACGTTCCTCAAACGGCGGTTTGGAGCCCGGTGGCCTGGAGCGTAGGCTCCCAACCAGTGGCCACATCGCCTTAGCTACGTAGGACATCCTGTTCCAGAAGGCCTCGGAGTATGCGCGCGAGCGGGGGCTGCCCCGGATCCACATCGCCTGCAACAGCGGGGCCCGGGTGGGACTGGCGGAGGAGCTGAAGCCGTTCATCAAGGCCAAGTGGACCAAGGACGATCCCTCCAAGGCTGGGGGGTGGGTGCGTTGCTTACTTTCTTGGTTGTTTGGTTAGTCGGTTGGTTGCTTGGTTGCTTGGTACTTGGTTTGTGACTTTGGTGTTGACTTTCTTGGTGACACAAAGGCACAAGCTGACATAGAGACGGCTGATTTCGGTATATACTCTCCGCAACAACTCGCAAATAGTACGCATATTTGAGCCAAAGCGAGCGATGGGTGCGATGTCGGCCGCAATTGGGGGTCCGTGAGCAGGGTTGGGCAAAACATGTTGAAGCCACCAGAGGCCAAAGGCGAACCCAATAGCAAATTGTTCAAACAATACAGTGGGCTCTCTCCCTGATTTAGATAGGTTCCATCCAGTTCTTTACTTCCCCACCGGGGAATTGTGCCCTGACCCACCGGGAATTGTGCGGCCGGGCCGAATCGAACCGCTGGCTGTGAAACGCCCCTTTCCCAAGGTGTTCCCTGGAACATGGTTGTTGTTGGGAAACATTTCACATGTTTGCTTCTTGTGGTTTAGTGGGTGAACTTCAACCACTTAACTGCTAAAACTCGCTTTTTGGCTCCTCCAACATCAACCAACATCAATTCCCTTGAAGGAAACCAGAATTAGAAGTTGGTTTGGAGGGGTCATTCCCTCATTCTTTTTTTTAAGCAAGGGAAATTCCCCCCAAGGCTTCCTCATCCCCTATCAAGGGGATTCTTCCCCGGGCTTCCACGCCTTTCGGGCTTCCTCCTTCCCAATCGCCAACCAAGGGAATTCCCTCCAGGAATTCCACGCCTTTCGGGCTTCCTCCTTCCCTATCAACCAAGGGAAGTCCATTGCCAAACCTTCCACTGGACTTCGAGGGCTTCGACTACCTCTACCTGGAGGAGGACGCTTTCAAGAGCTTCCCGGAGGGCGCCATCGAGGCCCACCAGGAGGAGGCCTGGGGCCCGCCGGGCCGCCGGGCCGTCAGGCTGTTGCAGCGAGCGGATGTCTGGATGAACGGAAGTTCTGCACTTAAGGAAGCCATGGGGGACGTATGTACAGGGGAAGCATCAGAAACCAGGGTTTCTCAGGTGGTGCGAAATGGATTTCGTCCATCCGTCGTATTTCCGGACTGCTCTTGGGTTGGATCTTTAGACTGAACAGCTTTTTGGTTGAGATCAAGTTGGGCTTTCCATTAAACCCACAAACAGTTAAACTGTTTGCAGAGGAGTCAGCAGCCACCATCTTTTTTGTTGAGTGGGTGTTGGTTTTGAGGGTAATGTTGACCCCATACCAATCACCCCCAGTTTAGTCTTTCATAGCGGGGGTGTCCCCCTCCAAAAGTGATGAATCCCCACTAGATCCAGGAACACCCCCCAATAAGCTGGGGTTGATTAGTATGGGAGGGGGCAACATCACCCTTGCTGAAGGTTCAGATTTTTCCGAGTTGGTTTGGCGCCGGGTTGTTGGGGTTTGGGTTTGAACCCCTGGCTCTTGCGGGCAAAACTTTAAAACCCTCTTAAAAACACAACTTTTCAACTTTTTGGGTAACATGGGCTATATGTGTGTAAAAGATTAACTTCCCCAGGGCTTGGAGTTTTAAGGGGT